TCTATATATTTGTTGATTGAAGTATGGGTGGGGAACCATGCCTCTAGAAATTCCCGTGCGTGTTTATGTTTGGCCTAGGCAAAGTAACCATAGTAGCCTAAGCCAAACATAGACACGCACAGGAATTCCTAGAGGCATGGTTCCCCACCCATACTTCAATCAACAAATATATAGAGTTGGATCCCATATACAAAGCCATACAGATCAAAACCGGAAATGACAGTACTCACCATAACAGACTGGACAGTTTAAATTCCAAGCGGAGTAGAGTAACATTGCTTCATCGGAGGCTCCACACCACCTAGCATGGTGACACAACATCTGAACAAAAACAAGCCAGGTCGGCAAGCAAGTCAACAACCTCATCAAGAATTCTATCGATTCACGACCTTCTGAGAGGAGAACTAAATCCGATTTCTAATAACTGGACAACTCCTTACTCTGCAATTTTGTCCTCTGGTCTTAGACTCTTCCACAAGAGGTAACAGCCTCTTCAAATCTACCCTGTCAAGCTTCCTTAAGAGTATTATGTTTCAATAAAGTCACCTCTAACTCTTCTAAACTCAAACTAGTACAAACTCAACTTTCTCAATCTCTCATGAAAAGTACAGTCCCTCCTTACATGAGATCAGGCTAGTAAACCTTCTCTAGACTGCCTCCATCGCCAGTATGTCATTCCTTAGATAAGAGACCCAAAACCGTTCAGTATTCCAGTGTGGAAACAGACCTTTCGGCCCAACTCATCCATGCCAACCAGATATCCTAAATTGGCCCATATCCCCCTCTTCCTTTCCTATTCATGTACCCATCCAGATCCCTTTTAAATGTTGTAATTGTACCCGCTTCCTCCACTCTGGCAACTCCTACCATATGGGCACCACCCTCTATGTGAAAAAGTTGCCCCTTAGGTCCCCTTTAAATCTTTCTCCTCTCACCTTAAACTTATGCCCTCTAGTTTTGGACTCCTCTAACCTGGGTAAAAGACCTTTTACTATTCACCTTATCTATTAAGGAAAAACAACTTGCAGAATGAATGCATAAGGCAGGAGAATAAGATTGGATTCCTCCACAGAAAGCCAGGATGGGCACCGTGGGCTAATGACTGTTTGGCCAAGGTTTGACAGTAATGGAGGAAATCATGAGGCTAAACGGGGCACATCCATCATCATTGTATTAACTTCTATATGATCTCCCCTCAGACTCCGATACTCCAGGGAAAGTAGTCTCGGCCTATTCAGCCTCTCCCAATAGCTCAAACCCTCCAAACCCGGCAACAAGCTTAACAACATCTTTGCTATAGCAGGGAGACCAGAATTCAACGCAGTATTCCAAAAGTAGCCTCACCAATGTCTGGTAAAGGTGCAACATAACATTCCAACTCCCATATTCAATGTACTGACCAGCAAAGACAAGCAAACCAAATAAATTCTTCACTACCCTGTCTACCTGTGATTCCACTTTCAAGGTCTGGACTGACTAGTGACTAATTCCGAGAATATTTGAAAATTATGAAAAGTTCACTCTCTCTTTGCTAGTTCAGGATGAAAATGATCACGTCTTGAAATTTGCCCCTGTTTAGCCTCATGATTTTCTCCATTACTGTCAAACCTTGGCCAAAGAGTCATTAGCCCACGGTGCCCATCCTGGCTTTCTGTGGAGGAATCCAATCTTATTCTCCTGCCTTGTGCATTCATGCTGCAAGTTGTTTTTCCTTAAGCATCTGTTAAGTTTCCTTTCAAAATTATTCATGATCTTCACTTCCATCACCTGTGTTGCTAGCAACTTCTAGGTTATTACCCCACACCGTATAAGCAAAAGTCATTCCTCACATCCTCTCTGTATCTCTTACCCTAAACCTTAAGCCTGCGTTCACAGTCATTGAACCATCAACTAATGAGAACAGCCTTTCTCTCTCTTTTTCTTTGTAACCTGGTCAGGATCTTCTACACATCCATAAAATCTACCCTCCATCCGCTTTGCTGCAAGGACAGGAGCCACAGCTTCTCCAATGTAACCTTCTGGCTAAAATTCTTCATTCTTGGAGCCATTCTGCGAATCTCCTCCACACCTGCTTGAGGACCCTCAACCTTCCTAAAGCATGGTGACCAGAACTGGATGTAATACTTCAGTTGCAGCTTAGACCATTAGACATAGGAGCAGAAATTTGGCCATTCGGCCCATTGAGTCTGCTCCACCATTCAATCATGGCTGATAAGTTCCTCAACCCCATTCTCCCGCTTTCTCCCCGTTACCCTTGATAATCAATTCTTCAAAGCTTGTCCAGAGCTTTTGGAAAAGTTCAGCATCATTTTCCTTCTGTCTGGTTCTTTGCTGAAGGTTTTCTTAAAAACCCATGTTGACAACATACACTGCATTTCTTTCAATTGCACCACCCTTGTTCAACAAAAAATGAATTAATTTAGCCCAGCATGACATCTTATGTAAATCTGTACTGGCCAACTCAAACATCTCCGAATGCCTGTTAATTTTTTCCTGATTACGGTTCTTAAAATCTTACCCAGCAGCAATGTTAAACTGACAAGCCTATCGTTACTTGGAATATCCTTCAACCCAGTCTTGCTCAATAATGTCCTCTATCAAATTTATTCTATTCCTGTCTTTGACATTTTTAGGTTCATTTGTAAAGCTAGTATGTTATTCTCATCCTCCACAGTGAAAACAATATGTTTAAGCCTCATTTGAATGATGAATAGAAAAATGCTTGAAATATTCAGCTGGTTAGGCAGCATCTTTGGAGAGAAAAACAAATTAATGTTTCCTGTCAATGGATGGTTCTGAAGTTGCCCTTCAATTGACAATTTTCCTCTGATCACAAAGAGCAAATAATTGAATTTGCATTTATAAAATGCCTTTCATGTCGTCAGCATCTGCCAATGTGCTTCTCAGCCAGTCAACTTAAAATGTGGTTACTGATTTACAGGCCCGGACCACAACCAAATTGAGCATAGCAAGATCCCACAAAGTGTTAGCGCATGTGGATCGGTAGACTAGTTTTAGTGGGGGGCATGGTTGAGGAATGGATGTTGACCAGTCCACTGGGAGATCGCTGCCTTTATATCATGCTGAGTAGGCAGGCTGGGCCCCAGCTGACCGTTTCATTGTCTCAGCACCTTGAGTTTTAAAGTCCAGTGTTAGACTTCTGCTCTGGTTAATATGGAATGTGTGGCTAATGGTTTGGAATCTGCACTGATGACTCAGTGCTCATAGGGCTAAATGATTTATTTTCTTTGGTTTGTCTTAAGCTTTAGCAGCGGTTTTGAGGCTGGGTCACGGAGCTCAGAAGAAGGAGTGCTGGAGACAGTGCTCATGTCGATGGGCCGAACCATGAGTCAAGAGGAGGTGCAGCAACTGATGAACCAGACTGTCCTGCAGGTTGCGGACACACTCAGCATCTCCACTGATACGTCACAGCACTTGCTCATGCACAGCAAGTGGAACGTTGACTTATTGGTGCAGCGATATGCTGAAGATTGTGAGGTCCTTCTGTTGGCGGCGGGACTTCAGGTCCGGAACCCACAAACACTTCGCAGCCCCATCGCCCAATGTCCAGTTTGTCTAAACCTGCTTACTAATGAAAGTGAAGCTGCTCCCACTCTTTGCTGCATGCACTACTGCTGTAAGGTGAGTCCTGTTCAAGTACATTTTGGGATGTTATGCTCATTGTAGGATTTGTGCAGTATTGTCAGAAAGCTGAATGAACATTCAGCACCTTACACTGTGCAATGCAACACTGAGATTGCTGTGGTCGGGTAATAGGGCATTGATTTTTTGAAGCCTGTATGTTTTAGGAGGGAAGAAGACTTGGAGAGCAACCCTGCTTCCCCACCCCCCCTGCACCACAGACCAGAATGGGGAGGAGGGAGAAAATTGAGAATCAACCAAGACTTTCAGCTGTTGTTACAGTTAGAGGATTGCGAGTTGGAATACGAACATTAACCAGTTGTCTGCTTTGTTGGATGGGTGGAATGATGTTTCGAAACAGGGCTGACCATCTGACTGAAGTAGAAGTTATGAGAATGGCCCTGGGCACAACCACAAATATAGCAGCTGATTATAAATTCAAAAGTCTGAGGAGATGTTCAAATTTCAAATTTGATTGTAATAACAAGCATAGAAAGTAGGAGCAAGAACAGGTTGTTGAGGCCCTTCTGTTATTGAATATAATTGTGGCTTTTCGTCCATCTCGACACCGCACTCCTGTCTCCCATTCCCCTTGACCCCTTCAGTGTCTAGAAATCTGTATCTTTCTTAAATATATTCAATGACTTAGTCTCCACATCCATCTGTGGTGGTGAATTCCACAGATTCACTACCCTCTGAGTGAAGAAATTTCTCCTTGTCTCTTCTAAATGAACTACCTCATATCCTGGACCATGAATCTTCATTCTGAACCTCCCCGTCATTGGAAGCATTAATCCTCCAGTCTTGTCCAACACTGAGAATTTTATACATTTCAATGAGATCCCCTCTCATTTTGCAAAATTCCAGTGAAACGGGCCCAGTCGACCCAATCTCTCCTCTTACAACAAATCTGTCATTTCAGGAATCTGCCTGGTGAACTTGAACTGCACTCCCTGTATGGCAAGTATTTCTTTTATTAGATTAGGAGACCAAATCTGTGCACAATACTCAAGGTGTCCCGAGGAACCTATACATTTGCAATAAGCCTGCCTTACTCCTGTACACAATGCAAGGACATGGAGAAGGTCTGGAATCGTGATAAAGCATGATTTTTAGACTATGAGAACTGTTTCATCACAGCAGTGTAGGTCAGTTGATAAATATAAATTGGGCTCTTCCCTCTTCTTTCCTGGTGACTTTGACTCATGCTTAGTTACAGCTCTGTGCTCCATAATGGTACCACGCATAAGTGGTCAGTCCTCACCTGTGAATCGCACAGGTATGTGTTAGTAAGCTATCTGAGCAGTCTGGGCTCACAGTAAACTTGTCTTGTCCCCTTTTGGCATTTGCAGGTTACTGGAGGATAAAAAGAGCACAAACCTGGCTTCACCCTCTCACCACTTTCTTTAGTTCACAATTGCTAAAGCCAGTTGTGGTATTTGATTTAAATCTTTTTGTGTGTATAAAATTATGAGAAACACAGCCAGTGGGGATAGAAAGCAGCTGTTGCCTGTAATTAAGGGGTCAGTAACAAAGGGGCACGCTTTTAAAGTGAAGGGCAGGAGGTTTAGAGGAGACTTAAGGAAAACCTTTTTCACTGAGGTGAACTATTTTCACCCAGTGTGGTGGGGCCCTGGAATGCACTGTCTGGGAAGGTAGTCAAGGTGGGAAAACTCAACCTTTTTAAAAAGTACCTGGATGAGCGTTTGAAGTGTCATAATATTCAAGGCAATGGGCCTACTGCTGGAAAGTGGAACCAGTGTAGATTTAATGTACTTTTTGGCAGTTATGCCTTGATGGACAGAAGGGCCTCTACTGAATTATATGATTTTATGATTTAAGTACTGATCAAGATGATTAACTAACTGAAACCTTGATGTGAAGTGCAAATTGGGTACCTGTGTAAAGCCTTGCATCTTGAGACTGGGGAGGTAGTTTGTGAGCAACCGCTAAATTTAAGGAACTCAACGTGGCTCTGTCCTTAAGTACTCTGAACCAGGAAATATTGTAAGATGACACCACAGTGAAGACTTGCTGCTCCTTCTGTTTGTGCACTATGACGCAACCTGTGACTGTGAAAGATGAAATAAAAGCAGAAAATGCTGGAAATACTCAGCAGGTCAGACAGCATCTGTAGAGAGCAGAAATTAATGCTTCAGGTCTGTCACCTTTCATCAGAACACTTCCCTATGTGAAGGATCAACTCTAGTTAATAAAAACCGATCCCTCTCAAATAGTAGGTTTACTGTTATCATACTGAGGTCACACAAGCTCCATTCAAATGAAGATACCGTTTGACCTGTCTTATTCCAGAGTGCCTGCCATTTCTATTACATCCAACTGTTGGTTAAATAAATCTAGTGCCCTGGTCTCGATGTTTTGCAAATACAATTTAGCCATGTAACACTGTGAAGCTGGAGGAGCACAGCAGGCCAGGCAGCATCAGAGGAGCAGGAAAGCTGACATTTCAGGTTGGGACCCTTCTTCAGAAAAGCCTCCTGACCCAAAGCATCAACTTTCCTGCTCTGATGCTGCCTGGCCTGCTGTGTTCCTCCAGCTCCACACTGAGTTATCTCTGACTCCAGCATCTGCAGTTCTTGCTATCTCTTAGCCGTGTAACACACATGTTTTCTCGTGCCTGTCCTGAGTTTGACTTTCAAGCTTGAATCTGTCCTGGTCAATGCTGGGTCTAATTATTGTTCAAAGCTGGATTTCAGTCCTGTTCACTATTTCATTCACTCCTGTAAGATTTCCTTTGGGGCTATCTATTGGAACACATGGAGCCATATTTTATCCAGTTAACTTTCAGTCTTCCTGATCAGAAAGGAGCAGTGTTGCTTGGCTCAGTTTGGACCTGCATAGTACAGAGTAATGATTCTATTTGACATTATTGTTTGTATTTTGATGTAGTCTTGATTTTTGTGTTTTCAGTCCTGCTGGAAAGAGTATTTAATAACAAGAATTGAGCAAAACCTGGTGCAAAATTGTACGTGCCCGATCTCTGACTGCCCTGCACAGCCAACCAATGAGTTTATCTCATCTATCATAAGTGACAGTGAGATTGCAGCTAAGGTAAGACATTAGTTTTGTTAAGACAGTTAATTGAAATAAAAATGTAGTGTAAAGGTATTTGCTTCAGTTCAGTTGACCCTCAGTGCATTTCTTCTAGGCAGTGTAATAATCCTAGAGTTTCATGAATGAAGGTAAACCGCTTTATTATGTGTTTTTTAAAATTTGTTCTTGGGATGTAAGCGTCACTGCTTGGTCACCGTTTATTGTCCCTCCCTGCACCTCTGGGGAAGGTGGTGATGAGCTGTCTCCTTGAAGCAATGCAGTAGTTGAAGTATAGGGACATCACAGTGCTATTAGACAGGGAGTTTGAGGATTTTGATTGAGCAACGCTAAAGAAACTGTGACATATTTCCAAGTCAGATGATGTTTCTTGAAGAGTAACTTGCAGGTGGTGGTGGTGTCCCTTACCTTCCTATTACATGGAAGGACAAGTCTCCAAAGGTCCAGAGGGCTGAACTGCCATTAGAGAGACAGGGGACTGGTGGGGAGTTTAACCTGAGGGCCACCACGTATCAGGTGTGGGCCAAGGTCAGTATTGCGGGACCTTTTTATGCTGATCTCAGTCATATAAGAATTGAACCTGCTCTGTTGGAGACACTCGAGGCCACAAGCCAGCTGTCCAGCCAACTGCATTAACCAAGCTTCGTTCGAGGTCATAGAAGCCGTGGATTTAGAGATGTATCAGAGGAGCTGTGATGTATACTCCAATACAGCTGCTGTGTGTCAGTGATGAAGGCAGTGAATTTTGAAGGTGCTGCATGGGGAGTCAATTAAGCAGGCTTAGGAGGAACTGCAGATGCTGGAGAATCTGAGATAACAAGGTGTAAAGCTGGATGAACACAGCAGGCAAGCAGCATCAGAGGAGCAGGAAGATAATAAGGTGTAGAGCTGGATGAAGAACGGTCTAGGCCCGAAACATCAGCCTTCCTGCTCCTCTGCTGCTGCTTGGCCTGCTGTGTTCATCCAGCTCTACACCTTGTTATCTCAATTAAGCAGGCTGCTTTGTTCTGGATGGTGTCCTGCATGTTGGAGCTGCACTTATCCGGGCAAGTGAGAATATTCCATCACACTTCTGACTTGTGCCATGGACGTGCTTTGGGGTGATGGGGTGTGGGTAACTCGGTGCAGGATTCCAAACCTGTGACCTGCCCTTGTAGCTAATGTATTTATATGGCAGATTCAATTCCGTTTCTGGTCAGTGGTAACTGCCAGGATATTAATAGTGGGACATTCTATGGTGGTAATGTCTTTGAATGTCAAGGGATGATGGTTCACTCCTCTTTTAATGGTGGGAAAGTTACTTGCCACTTGTCAGTCCATGCCTGGATATTGTCTGTATTGTATTGCAGCTGAACATGGACTGCTTCAGTATCTGAGGACTTACAAATGGTGCTGAGCATTGCACAATCATCAGCAAACATCCCCACTCCTGACCTTATTATGGAGGGAAGGTTGTTGATGAAGTAGATGGTGATTGGGCCTATAACGTTAGCCTGAAGACCTCCTACAGAATTCCTGGGAATTATCATGAATCCCAGAAACGATGACTTTATCTTTGAGTTCTGGGAGCAGTGTTCCTGTTTGCTGGGAATCCTGGCAGCGGTGTCCATTTGCTAAGAATCCTGAAGTATTGTCCCAATTTGTCTGGAATTCCAGGAGGGTTGACCCTGTTTGTTATGATTCCTGAAGCAGGTATCCTTGTTTGGAATCCTGGGCATGGTTTCTTGGGAGTGATGTCCCCATTTGTTGGGAATCCTGGGAGTGGTGACAGTGTAGATCCTCTTCCTTTCACTTCTGTTATGTTGAATGCTGTGAGTGTTGTGATGTGCCTGTGCTTTGCATACACCAGAGATTACTACCAAGAGATTGGGTTCAGGATTTAGTGTGGTAATTGTCAATTTCATTCAGCCCATCTCAGTTTAGAATGTGTCCAGTTTGTATTTAAAATTATCATTGACCAGAAACTCACTGTGACAGAAACAAAATACTCTGGCTACATGAACAGGCCAGAGGCTAGAAATTTTGAGCCAAGTAACTTACCAGCTGTCTCCCAAAAGCTAATCCACCATCTACAAGGCACAAATCAGGATGTGATGGAATAATTCTTATTTGCCTGAATGGGTGTAGCTCCAACAACACTCAAGTTTAACACCAGCCAGGACAAAACGTGATTGGCACCATATCTGCACCAATGATGAACTCTCTGCCTTCAACTTCACTCTTATTTTACAACCGTTTCTACTACCTGCACTGACAAAGACAACAAATGCATCAGAACACCACACCTCCACTTTCCACTACATACCACACACCATCCTCGCTTCAAGTGATATTGCCTTTCCTTCAGTATCTCTGTGTCTAAATTCTGGGATTCCATTGTGGATGTCCCTATCACCCTCTCAAGGGCAGTTATGGACCTCCCATCCTGAGATTGAAGCTTTTTAAAAAAAGTGTAGTGTCCATTTTAGTTGTTCTCCATTGATGACTTGTGCTTTTTGATAATGTACCATTTAATTCCACTTCAAGTGTAACTCCCTAAATTTTAAATTGGTGGAAATTCTGTTGTGTAGTTTATATGCTTATTCATTAACATTTATGACTTGGCAGCATGGCTTTTACACGTCCTGTTCAGATGGGCAAGTTTAAAGTAGCGTTCAAAGCCATCTGAAAACTGATGTACAGTTTAAGTTCCTCCACATTGTTGCAAATCTGTAGTAAATACAAATTTTAATTTGAAAATATAAACCAATGCACCACTATCTGAAGATATAAGCACAACAAAGAGGTCTAAAAGATGCTCAAGTTCCATGCCCATTCAGGCTCTCTGAAATGTTTGATGACTGCGATTGTTTTATTATGACCTGGAGCTGTTGTGACTTCAAAGTAGTGACTTGCTGTTGCTTTCTCTTTTCTTCCTACAGTATTCAAAAATACTGCTGCGAGGGTATGTGGAATGCTGTTCAAATCTCACTTGGTGCACCAATCCGCAGGGCTGTGATCAGATTCTCTGTAAGGAGGGGATAGGCAGTGTTGGTACCTGTTCCAAGTGCTGTTGGTCCTCTTGCTTCTCCTGCAATTTCCCAGAGGTAACTAGATGGGTTGTTGCATGTTTGGCATTTAAACAATTTCGTACATGATAACAAACACTAGACTTGAAAAGATTTTCACTAGACGCAAAACATTTTGGGATGTCCTGTAATTGTGAAAGGAGTGATATGAATGAAAGTGCATTGTCCTTTTCCCAGGTAAGTTCTCTCTTTATTAGGTCAGATGTTTTGCTTGCAATTCTGCCTTGTATCTTGATCTGGACACCTAGCTGTACAAGGTGGCTTCTATATATTTTTTTTCCTTTCTTTAGGGGTGCTTGGTGTTGGCCTTTTGACGCCCTTTGAGCATTCAGCTGCAGTTTGGGTCCAACTATGTTGATGAGTTTCATCACTTAACATGCTATCTTAGGGCTGCTGTGTATTCTCCTAGAGACAGCTCAGGACTAAACAGAAATGCTTCTTTTTCAAGCAGAACTGGGCTTTTCATTCCTTGTGCTGTGACTGTTTTGAATGTAGTTCTTCGTCTCGTAAGGGCAACATTTTGTTCTTTCTAACATATAACATTTCCCCAGCTCCTTGCAGACACTAACTTGTGCCAAATTGTAGTTCTACAATAGACTGTTGCCCATCCAGTACCTTGGCCAAGTTTTCACCCATTGTCCGAAGCTCAGACAATGAATGCTGACTGGATAGGCATCATGCTTGACTGGATGGTAATGGCTGATCTTTCCTTAATCCTGGAATGTTGACACCGAGATGATAAAGGAGAGAGATGTAGTGGTTGCAGGAGAGTGACAAGTCTGTTTCAGTAATGGAGAAGAGGAAGGAATTGTGGGGACTCTTTCAGCAAATGTATCTGAAGACTGTCACTGATCCAATTAGAGCAGCTTTTCTGGTGATGTTCTGACATATTTCCTGGAATTTTAATGATTGAATTTTGTATTGATCAGTCCTCAGCTAATTGTGATGTGTTGTAGTCAGAGGCCATGCCTATCTCAGGATTGTGTTTTACTTCTAGGGCCATTGAACTTGGCATCAGCTTCTTATCCTTCAACCACTGTCCTGTTTATTCCAGGCACATTACCCGGCTAGCTGCAGCCATATGTCACAGTGGATGGATGACGGTGGTTACTATGAGGGAATGACGATGGAAGCACAAAGCAAACACCTGGCAAAACTTATTTCCAAGCGCTGCCCAAGTTGCCATGCCCAGATTGAGAAAAACGAAGGCTGTCTTCAGTGAGTTAATCTGCACATAAATGTTTCTTTAAGTATTTCCCCTTTGAGCTTCATGTAAGAACAAAGCGAGGAGGAGGAAATGAGACAACCATTTGGCCTGTACCATCATTCAGTTTGGTAATGGCTGATCCACACCCAAACTCCTTTATTCAAAAGTCCAGTATCTTTTCCCAACCAAAATCTGTCAATCTTCCTGAAAGTTCCAACAGACCCCAGCACAACATCCTTTGGTGGGAAAAAATCGCATGTTTTGAACTGGGTGTAAAAATGTTTCCTGGTTTTGCCTGGCACTTGACATAGTCTACAGATAATAACTGGTAGATCCATCAGGTGAAGAGAAGAGACAGATTGTGGATCCAACTGTATCCTCTCTCATATTTCCGCCAAAGGGTTGTCCCTGAATGTTAACCTGCTTTACACCGAAAATCTTGCTTTGTTTTGCCAATGTTCAGCTTTAATTTCTTGCTCCTTTTGTCATGCTGAAGATGTGGTATTTCATGGTAAACAACCACCCTCTGGTGCCTTGGCCAAGCCATTATTCCCATTTACTCCCACTTCGCAGCCAGAGTCCCAACAAAAGCCATACCTTTACAAGCTATGCATTATTTGAATCAATCTATCTGTTCGAACATGTGTCCTCCTTCATATCTTCCATTTCGACCCTGTGGATATTGTAACCATTCAGAGGAATTTGGTGAGAATGATGCAATAGTAAAGAGGGTTTGTTGGATATGGAGTATCTAAGCTGAGGTCTTGTACATCAAAATAAGAGTCCATTCTTTAACTTTGACAGCATGACATGTGCCAAATGTAATCATGGATTCTGCTGGAGATGCCTGAAGCCATGGAAACCGACACACAAAGATTACTACAACTGCTCAGCAATGGTAAGATCCTGTCTGCCGGAATGTGTTGAATTGCAGTAACAGAGCAGTGTTTTATACCTGGTTTTGGTTGGAGGAAGTAGTATGATTGGGGATTGCTGTAAGTAAAAAGTGCATTTTTGAATGTCATGGTACTAAACGTTGGATGTTTGAATGAGCACTTCCAAGGTGTTTTCCATGATCCTGTTCCTAAATTGCACATTTCGTTGCCACAGTGACTCAGTGGTTAGCACTGCTGCCTCACAGCGCCAGGGACCTGCGTTCGATTCCACCCTCTGGTGACTGTCTGTGTGGAAGTTGCACATTCTTACTGTGTTTGTGTGGGTTTCCTCCCACAGTCCAAAGATGTTCAGGTTAGGTGGATTGGCTATGCTAGGTTACCCATTATGTCCAGGGATGTGCAGGCCAGGGAAATACAGGGATAAGGTGGGGGGATGGGTCTGGGTGGGGTGTAACATCGGAGGGTCGGTGTGGACTTGATGGGCCAAATGGCCTGCTTCCACACTGTCGGGATTTTGTGTAGGAATTCTCTGATTTAATCTATCTATGATTTATCTATTTCACCTGTACCTTTCTCTCATCCATCCTCCCTTCATTAGAAGGTGCAGCAGTCATTTTCCTATCTGCTGTTTAACTGTGGAAGGCTTCACAGCACAGCCTGGTTCTTCATCAGGATAATACTTGGAATGGCCTCCTGTCTGTGAATTACATGGTTTTCTAGGGATATGGTGATCATTGAACAGTAATCCAGAACCCCACGTTAATCTTCTGGCTTCAAATTCATCCATGGCAAATGATGAAGTTTGAAGTCAATAAAAATCTAATTTAAAAAATCAAAAAGCTGCCTAATGGCCACCATTTTAACATTATTGTAAAATCCATCTCGTTTAGGAAAGGACATCTGTCGTCTGGTCTGGCCTGTACGTGACTCGACTCACAGCAATATAGTTGCTTCTTAACTTCCCTCTGGGTATTGGGGTATAAGCCATAAAAACTGGCCTAACCAGTGATGCCCAATTCCCATGAACAAATTTTTAACAAAGTATTTGGGAATGGAATGCTGCCTGGTGTTTTGTCTTGTCGTAACCCACCATTAATCCCATCATAACTGCAACTTTGGCCTTGCATCACCAACTCAATTGAAATAAGCAATTTAATTTGCTGATTTCATTCCTTAATATGGAAGCATGCTACATGGTGCACTGTCCAACTAAGATGTCAAGAGTAAGCATTTATAGGAGAAAACTGGACAGACTTTGGGGGTGTTGTATCCCATCAATGTGCTCTCAGTCTAGTAGTCATGTCTACATCTAGTTCTAAACTGGTGAAATCTTGTTTTTATTGGGGCTGTTGGAGACTTCCTTCATCCCAACAGCCACATTTATTTCTGTAGTTTCCTCCTCATTTCATGAGAATAAGAGGGGGGATCAGTCTGTTAAACTTGTGTACCTATCTCCTTTTCACCCTTTGGTCGAGAAAGCTGGGCCACATGACGTTGTACAAGCTTCCTACCAACGAAAAGAGCAAATGAGGTAAACCAAGAAGTGACCAGATGACAGCAGTATCAGCAGTTTGAAACCTGACAATTGTATAGAAAGGAGGAGGAATGATGTTTAATGAACTGATCAGTCAGAAGAGTTGCAGTACCCTGTTGTTCCTCCAGTCTGTCATGCACATTTCAACCTGAAAGGTTTTTAACTGAACTTCTAAATATTAACAAACTGTGTCTTTGTGCAGGTCAGCAAGGCAGCACGGCAAGAGAAACGGTTTCATGATTACAATGAGAGATGCACTTTTCACCATCAGGCAAGGGTGAGCTGATGGAGCTTGTGCACAGCATCCAACATTACTAACTGCAGATTAATTAAATTCTGTGTGAAAATGGGAAACTGTAAATGAGGTTAAGAAGCCAGTATAGTGGAAGATTTACTTCTCACATTCATCTGAGACAGCTCTGTTCAGGTTACATTGGCGATGATGGTGTAACATTAATATCACTGAACTAATGATCCAGATGCTCAGGATAATACTTCGAGAAGATAAGTTCAAATCCCACCAAGTCAGCTGGTGGAAATTTGAATTCAATTCATAAAGCAGGAATTAGAAGTTAGTCTTTGCGATAGCAATCTGAAACTGCCATCAATTATTGTTGTAAAAGCCCGGCTGGATTTTGATTCACCTTTAGTGAGGAAACCTGCTGTCCTTGTCCAGTTTAGTCTTCCTGTGACTCCAGATAAAATAGTGCGGGAAGCCATGCAGCTCGAGGATAATTAAGGATGGGTAACAAACCCTGGCCTTGTCAGTGATGCCCATGCCCTATGGAAGAATGGAGAAGAAGTCATTTCATGAGTTTGGTCTGGTGGCAAATGGAATATTGACCTTTATCTCTGTGAGGCTGGAAAAGAGAAATGAGGAATGATGTTACTGTATAGAGTGTTCAGATCCGAGAACTACACCACGTGAAATAGATTTTCCATTGTATATCCCCATTGTGATACTGGGTTTTAAGCAGGTTAAATGTGAGGATGGCAGCTAAACTCTGTGATAGTAGGAACTGCCAATGTTGGAGAATCTGAGATAACAAGGTGTAGAGCTGGATGAACACAGCAGGCCAAGCAGCATCAGAGAAGCAGGAAAGCTCTCTTATTTCATGTTAGCAGGACACTGATGGTCAGCATGCTGTTGTGCTTTGAACCTAGCAGTGTATATACAATGCAATGAATTATTCTGCCAGTGTGGTTAGAGATTATATTAAAAATTCACAGCAAATTAGTAGGAGACTCTCTCTACGATCAACAATCTTACAATCATATTTTTGTTTCCTACAGGACTTTGCCGTTAATTTGGAAGCAAAAGTATCTGCAATAAATGAAGCCTTACAAATGAAATCACTAACATTTGTTATTGATGCCTGTAAGATGCTTGCTCAGGCAAGAAAGGTGAGGGCACAGTTTACAGTTCTTAGAATAACTGCCACCCTTGTTCCACAGCTTAATGATGAGTCGGTGAATACGGACCTGGAGTTGTTGAGTCAGTAGATGGTCGCTGACAAATAACATAAACAGCGGTGTATTCTGACTCTTAGCATTTCTTTCTAAACAGGCATCCCACTCTGACTCCCTATAGCAAGCAGTGATTGCTATAGATGTGATCAATTGGTCAACAGTTTGATCAATCATGTTGTAAGCTGACTTTGATCTCACCAAAGTTGTTTGATAGTTGACATTTAGCTCTACCATCATGAGCTAAAGGTGGAAAAATTTAAGCAGGAATTTTGTTTTTTTATTGTTATCCAGTGAACAATTGCTGTGGGTACCAGGGACCTTACAACTTTCCTTGCCCCAGGAGACCGGAATGGGATCCTACAACACAGGAATCCAGACCCATATCCACCAGGAGACCAGGACGGGATTATATCCCCCCAGGAGACCGGGACCTGACATTGTTTCTCAGCCAGGATCATGGATTGGTATCTGTTCCGTGTAGTGGTTCAGGACTGGGGTCCAGGTTCGTTTATCGTACAGAAGAGAAATTACAGTGGAGAAGTTGATGAGGGGTTTGTTGCAAATAGGTCTCCCTGTGAGCTTGGTGTGAAATGAAGTGTTCTACATCTTCCCTGATCAGTAGTGTGCTGGAAATTGAGTGCAAATCATTTTTCGTGGAGTCATTGCAAAAGTCAACAGATGCAGAATTCCCCAATTTCTCTATCTTTTAGGCTCAGCTTGACAGAAAGCACAGACCAGGTTTCTGTATTTTAACAAGAATGACTGTATTATTACAAGTCAGTAGATTCTAGCTACAGATGAACAACTTTGAACCGTCAACATGTAATTCTACAAAGTAAAACTTGAACTCCTTATAAAACTCCCCCTACACACATACAAACACACGTGTGTGTGTGTGTGCGCACACACACATAAGAGACATGGTGTTGTGGATGGCAGGAAAGACTGTGAAGGTAGTCGAGTCATTCCTGGCCACAGGTTTTGAGAGAGCTTGTTAGGTTCTCTCCTCAATCTTCATTTCTCACATTCTTTCACTGATATATTTCCAAGTCAGGATGGTGTGTGACTTGTAGGATAACTTGCAGATGGTGGTATTCCCCTGTATCTGCTGCCCTTGTCCTTTTAGATGGAATTGGTCATGGGTTTGGAAGGTACTGTCTGAGGATCTTTGGTGAATTTCTGCAGTGCATCTTGTAGATAGTACATACTGCTGCTACTGAGCATTGATGAAGGACTGAATGTTTGTAGATGTAGTGCTAGTTACTTGGGCTGCTTTGTGCTGAATCGTGTCAAGCTTCCTGAGTGTTGTTGGAACTGCAAGGAGAGAATATTCCATCATACCCTTAATTTGCATTTTGCTGGACAGGTTTGGTGGGAGTCAGGGGGTGAGTTACTTGCTGCAAGATTCGAAGCCTCTTTCTTGCCTTTGTAGCCTGTATTTATATGACTAGTCCAGTTCAGTTTCAGGTTAATAGTAGCGCACCGCCTCCCACCAACCCCCCACCCCAACCGAAGGATGTGTGATAAAGGGGGATTCAGCGATGGGAATGTCATTGAATGTCAAAGGGTGATGGTTAGATTCTCTTGTTGGAGATGGTCATTGCCTCCCATTTGTGTGTTACTTGCCAGTTGTCATTCCAAAACTAGGTATTGTCCACGTCTTGCTGCATTTGAATATGGACTGCTCCAGTATCTGAGGAGTTGTGAATGGTGCTGAATATTGTGCAATCATTGAACATCCCCACTTCTGACCTTATGATGGAGGAAGGTCATTGATGAAGCTGCTGATGATGGCTGAGCCTAGGACACTACCCTGAGGAATTCTTGCAGAGAAGTCCTGGACCTGCCTCCAACAATACTTTTGTCCATGTTTGAACCAAGGCTGGAATGAAGTCAGGAGCTGAGTGGCCCTGGCAGAACCCAAACTGGGCATCACTGAGCAGGTGCTGCTTGATAGCACTGCTGCTGACACCTTCCGTCAGGCTTGCCATGACCTGTAATGTGCCCCTTACTGTTGAGAGCAGTTTGAGAAGATCCTGCCATCCTCTGTCAGCACCATGTAAACGCTCACCTCGGACATGAAACATGTGGAACTGTGCTATGGAGAGGAAGAGATACCTGATACTCCTGACAGACTTACCAGATCGCTCCTTTATGAATATTAACTCCTCCCTTCATCAAAAGAAAAGGTCTTTGCATAGGCATTTGCAGCTGTTATTTGGTCCTAGGACCAACCTATTCCCCCACCTATTGATGATTTAACTGTTATGACCACAAGAACTTTTAGATGATACCTTTCCATAGTAATTCATCTTAATCTGGATCTGATTGTTACAGGAATAGATGGAAATTTACCCCATTTCAAATGTGTAGCTATGAAGAAAGGTTTGTATGAGATTAGGTATAGTGAAAGTGAAGCAACATTAATGAGGATTTTAATAAGGCTCTATGTACGTATGTTTCCCTCCATGTACTTTCCTTGCCTCAACACTCTGGTTTTTATTAGGTATTGGCCTATTCGTGTGTGTACAGTTACTATAATCAGGACACTGAAAAGATGGATATAATGGAACAACAGACAGAAAACTTGGAGCTGCACACCAATGCCCTGCAGATTCTTTTGGGTAAGTCCCAGTTCATGCGCGAAACTATAAGTTTCGATTAAATTATAAAGATTTTTCAAAAATGTGTTTGGGTTTCTCGTTGCCCTGTGAACTGTAGATGTTTTAAGTACAGAAGGAGGCCATTCAGTCTATCATGTCTGCACTGGATCTTAATGAAAGTGGCCCACAATTGATTCCACTCTCTTCTCCTCTCAGCTTCACATCTTTGTCAGATATTCATTCAGTTTTCCCTAAAAAGGCGGGTGACCTTTGCCTCAACTAGTGTCAGAGAATCCCATCCTTCAGGAACGTGTAGATAGAGATATCTCCCAATTAGCCTCCTTATCTATAACAATACCATGCAGATGCTACGACAACAGGTGAATGGACATCACGCAACAATTGCCAGACAGGGATGTTCCCTCCCAGTGGTGGAATATTTCAGCGGTCAAGGGCATTCAGCCTCTGATCTTTGGGTGTGCATCCTCCAAGGTGGACTTTGAGATACACAACAATGCAGAATCGCTGAGCAGAGGCTGATAGCCAAGTTCCATAGTCATGAGGATGGCCTCAACCATTATCTTAGGTTCCTGTCGTGCTACAGGTGACCCCACTGCAGTAGATACTCTCGCACGCCCCCCGTTTCGCGCTCGCATGCGCCCATCCAAGGGGCGAATTATTTCATCCAAGAAAGATGTTAATGTGTTTGCAAATGCATTCTATTTTTTTTAAAAAAAAAAAAAAACCAGCCTGACTCCAGGTTAAAACACAGATTCCAAATAAGGCCTCACACCTAAAATGCACTGTCTGATCTGAGATGTCACCTGTTGTATACACTGATAATACCTTTAGTTATCTCAGGGCAATGATTTGAAAGAAAGCCAGGGATTTGCATTTTAATCATAGAAACCTGTGTCTCCTTTCTAACTGATTAAAGATTCAACAGGAGGTGGGCAACAAGCCATTTTTAGGATTGTTACCTTTCTGCTTCTAAATATTGTGTTTTCAAATAAACCTGTTGGACTATATCCTGGTGCCGTGTGATTTTTGACCTGGTCCACCCCGGTCCAAAACCAGCACCTCCACATCAATTTTAATTTCACAATCTCTTTTATTGACTACACAGAGAAAAATATCCTTCCTTATTTACCTGATTAAAATATGACTTTCAGAAAGTTTTCTGTAATTTCATCTGACACTGCCTGCTAGAATAGAAATAGTCCAATTCCTCAAGTCTTTCCTGGCTGTATCCTGGTGAATCTCGAGGGTCTTTGACTTTAATGCCCTTTCGACAAGAAGGTGGTCTCATACATGATGGCAATAAAGGTTAAGACTTCAGGATTGTGAATCAGCAGAAGTTGCTGTTAGAGTTACCATTGTTTTCGTAAAAGAAACATTCTCCTTAAATGGGGAAAATAGATTTTCTTTGCATATATTGGGAACTTGATCAAAGAATCTAAATAGACCATTCAGACGCTTAAACACAGACCATTCACACGGGCTTTCTTGCAGGTTGCACCCTTACAGCTAAGGTTCTGCTGTACTGTTAGATGGTCGTTTGGTGTACAGAACCTGAATATTGTTTTTGTCATTGTTTCTTGTCTTGAAAACATTAGGGCAATTTGCAAGAGCACAATGAAGGGGAAGAAAGAAAGATTACTGTATGACAGAACAGAGCTGGTTGGTTAGCAGTTCTGAGGAAGGGTCACCAGACCCAAAATGTTAACTCTGATTTCTCTTCACAGATGCTGCCAGACCTGCTGACCTTTTCCAGTAACTTCTGTTTTTGGTTAGCAAGTGGACTGTGGTAGATACACTGTCATGGAGAATAGAACTATTAATGATGATTGACATTTAACTGCGAGGTTATGTTTAAATTTTCAAACCAGACAGGTTGACTCTGTTAAATTATTGCCATGAGAAAATAGCCAGGGAATGGCTGCTATTTAGTTTGTTGAGTTGAAACGGGCGGAGTGCATGTTCAATGTAGAGTTCTTTCTGTCTGCAAAGACAGGGAAGGTGTGCATTTAATAAAAGCAGTCTACAGTATATCCATGTGTGCTGTACTGAAGGTCACTGACAATCCTTAATCTGTTGTCAGCGTAATTCTTCTCACACTTGATTACTCAGCAAATGCGATCCAATAGCGAATTACAGCTAATGTTGGACTCTGGTACAAATGGCTGATGAGATAAGCTGTTTGATATGATCTACTGGTCGTTGAGACATAACATTTGCACACCTGGTATTGCTCCAGCACTGAAGTTACTCAATTTTGTGAAAGGCAGAGCATCTTTTTGATTTGATTACATCCACCACTTGCATTCTTATACATGGCAGCAGCATGAAACTGCTAGACACGCTTATATTTCATACCTATGAGTACCTTCAACCTTTCAGAGTAATCTGAGATACACTAGGAATTTTTCAGAACCAAAAATAATGGTATGTGGATCTTTCCTGAGTTTGTTTGAAAAGGAGTGATCTGATGAGGGTAGCTGTAATCGCATGGGATGAATATGATTATGTCCTATTTCAGCCACAAGTTGTCAATCATATCATTAACTGGCACATTCTCCATGACAGCGTCTCTCTTTCCGAGTCTACCTACCAACTAGTCAGCACTCTCCTCCCATACAGTATTAATGTTGGTTTTGCACTTTATCTGATATTTTTGCAAACTATACTGCGGGTAAGTTTTCAATGCTATGTTTAAATCCTTCCCTGACCTGTGCCCTTCCCATATCTGCCAGACCCACAAACCCCTCACATGGTGAATAGGGCAGGCAGGTGGAGTTGATGTAGACTCATGAAATTACTGAATTTTGGCACAGGCTCATCACGTCATGTGGCCTTTATCTCCTGTTTCTTATATTCTTCTCTGACATTTCTCCTATTCCAGGATTTAGCATATCCCTGATTGTAAGTTTCACTGTTGATGACTGTCTATCCACTGCCTAGGCCCTGCTCTGGGATTCCTTTCCCTGAACCTCTTCATCTCTCTGCTCTCTTTCATGCTGAGAGAACCTGTAAACCTACCTCAGAATTTATCTTTTGTGCTAATATTAGCTTGGTTCATTGTCAAACTTTGCCTCAAGCAAAGCTTGGGAAGCACCTTGGGATATTTGACTGTGCTTAGGGCTGTTGCTAAAAGGGAGAGTTTTCTGTACCTGAATATTATCTTATACTTTTCTCAGAGGAGACGCTGCTGCAGTGCGTGGACCTGGCCTCCTGCATTCGTCTGCTCAAACCAGAACACTTGAACACGGGTCTGGAACTGATCCGCAGGATACAGGAGCGGCTGCTCGGCATCCTGCAGCACTCCACTCAGGTAATTCATACAGCAAGGAAGAGAAAAGCTGATGGAGGCAGAAACCATGGCTGTGTTTGAGGCATTTTGACAGATACGTGAATAGACAGGGGATATGTGGATATGAACCATGTAGAGGCAAAAGGATTCAGTTTAGAAAAGCATCATGATTTGGTGCAGTCTTGGTGGGCCGAAGGGCCAGTTCCTGTACTGTTCTTTGTCCTTCATTCTGACAACTTGCAAGCTTCCATACAAACTCTTGCAGCATGGAGACTTCACTTACTGCTAGGGTAAAAACTGTTCCCCTGAGTGCAGAACTTGATTCTTCTGAATTGAAATCAAAGCTAAACGAGGGGCCTGTGGTTTGTTTTCTCTATTGTAAACTTGGCAGTATAAATATTTCGCGTGATACCACTGGTATTCTGCTACATACTTAATAAATCATATACTTTCTTGAAAATGATGTATTTACGTCATGTTTCCAGATGGTTTTTGGACCTTTCTCTTTTTAAAAAAAAGTATTTACCTTGACAGATTAACCAAATTTCATTTGCCTTTATGTTAAAATCCTTTGCTTGTAATTAATGTTTCTGACAGAAAATGTTTAGCCTCTCCTGGGATCCTCCCTGTGATTTGTGTACAAGTTCTGTAGCTCACTCAAGGAGTTGCTTCTGCTGTATCCCATTGTCATTACAAGCGATAGTCCCATAAACACTGTGTTTAGAGAAGAAAAATCAGACTTAACTCCTCAGGAATTTTGAGGAAGGGTCCCCGGATCCAAAATGTTAACTCTGATTTTACTTCACAGATGCCGCCAGACCTGCTGAGCTTTTCCAGCAACTTTGTTTTTGTACCTGATTTACAGCGTCCACAGTTCTTTCAGTTTTTATTTGGTGTTTAGAGCTGAGTTCTGTATTACCTCAGAGTAAAGTAACTACAGGAAGGTCATGTCTTAATGGGCTTCTGCAACCCAAGTTGAGAGGAACAAACTGTTTATGGGATAACAAGGTGTAGAGCTGGATGAACACAGCAGGCCAAGCAGCATCAGAGGAGCAGGAAAGCTGACGTTTTGGGTCGAGACCCTTCTTCAGAAAATCAACTGTTTATGGGACTGTCTTCCTGATTACTCCCCAGAGATGTGATGGAAAGTGAGTGTGCCATTAGGCAAGGTGATGTTTCCCATGACTGAATATACTCTGCCATTATTCACCTACTTGGGATCATTAGGGGGAGTTGATGGCCTAATGTATAATCGCTGGCCTATTAATTCAGATGCCCAGGTTATGTTCTGGGGGCCTGGGTTTGATTCCTGCCATGGCTGATGATGGAATTTGAATTCAATTTAAAAAAATCTGGAATTAAGAGTCTAATGATAACCATGAATCTATTTTTCGATGGGGAAAACCCATCTGGTTTACTAATTCCCTTTAACAGGGGCATTAATATCCTTACCTGGTCTGGCCTACATGTGACTCCAGACCAACAGCAATGTGGTTGACTCTGAATTGCCCTCTGGGCAATTAGGGATGGGCAATAAATGCTGTTCTAACCAGCAACACCCTCATCCTGTGAATGAAAAACAAAAAGAGTGAAGCCACTTGAGTGAGGCTCTTGACCTATATTGTTGAAGGGGCTCTAGCCTGGCATAAATCAGCACAATCAGAATAACTTAAATATAGAATTAGAAAAGCATCAAAGAATTTAAGATTAACTTAAATACAGAATAATTCAACTAATAAAAAGACGGATTGGGATATGAAATTTCTCATTGTCCCCAAAAAGAATTGTACATTAATTGGACTGGACCCTAATGTTGGGGCTGAGAATCATGCGTCTTTGGTTCACAATCATCAGGTCTGATTTCTGTGCTAGAATGAATTAGAGACAGCATTTCCATTTCAGTGTTACTGCACTGAAACTGATACAGTTATATGTGGGTGTGTCTTATGAGAGTCAAGCAGATTGGATTTGAACTCATTAGAGTTTAGAAGAATGAGACGCAACCTAATTGAAACATACAAGATTCCTCAGGAGATTGACAGGGTAGATCGGGAAATGGCTTTTCCCCTAATGGGTAAGTCTAGGACCAGAGGGCATAACCTCAGAATGAGGCATCATCTATTTAGACAAAGGCGAGGAGGAATTTCTTCTCTGTGGGTGGTGAAAATGATAAAAGCCTGAATATCTAAAGATCATAAGATTGTTGTAATATAGTTTTGTCAGAGATGTTATTGGAAACACTACCAAGATATACATTAAATAATTAATATAAACTCTGCTATTTCAGGATTTCAGAGTGGGGTTTCAGCCGAAGCAGGGAGTCGATCAAAATGAAGTTCAGCCCACAGATCTTTCAAACACAGTACCATCTGATTCCACCAAAGAGTAAGTCCATTAGCAACAGGCGGCAATTCACTGTGTTAATATAGACCGTGGTGATATGGGGATTGATGCTGGGAGATAGACCGTGGTGCCATGGAACAGACACTGGGCGAGGGATTGTGGTGCCATGGGGTAGGCACAGTGATTTGTGAAGAGGCCAGATTGGGAAACAGATGAAAAAAAATGTTTATTAGCAACAGGGGTTGCTATTTGGCCCCCTAGCCTGGTCTGCCATTCAGTTAGATCATGGTAACTTTACTTTCCCATCTTAGTCCGGATGACCACTGACTCCCTTGAACAGCAGATTTATTTTCCTAAGGGGCATGAATGTATCACATTGGTTTGTGCATGATGGTTACCATTATTGATGCAGATATAGTCAACTGAATGTAAACTCCCCAGATGCTGCACTGTGGACCTGTGTTGAACCTGTTACTCATTATCCTTAGTCCAGCCCTTGCTTTCCTGGGCCAGTGATTTCTCATTTGCGGAGTATTAGTTCTTTTGTTGTTAATTGACACCGAATTAATGTTATCACAAAAACCTCCATCACCAAATCCTTTCTGGTACTGTGGCAATATCCTTGACCAATACTATAACCCCTTTCTACCAAGTATCCACTTCTTCCCTAATTTCCCTGATATTGTGGCAATATCTTCCCTTTGAACCAAGTCTCCATTCTAGCCAATAAATCATAAGCCCCTGTGGCCCCTTAAGATGTGTACTGTACCCTTTCACCAAATTCCTTTTTGGCTTTGCATCATTGTTTGATCTCTCTTTATGAACTACTACTTATTTGAATCCTGTTTTTTCTTTTGCAGACCAGTGTGCTGCATTCTGGTACTCAGTTGTATCAAAAATAGGACCAGGGTAAACTGGATAGACAGCCTTGCATTCGAATAGGCACTATAATACAGTAAAAGACAAAAACTACCAAAAACTGCTGAACTTGTGCCAGAATCAGACACAAGCTACTGTCCCACAGATTACTCGAGCAGCAGCCTCATGATTTTAAGCCAACATCCCACTGCAGAACTGACTCACTAGAAGTGGCAGTGCCGTGGTATATAGTCAGCCCTTGGAGACCTCAATGCTAACTCAGCAAAAGCAGTATGCTGTAACAGAGCAAAGTGAAGCCACAACCAGTGGATCAGACCAAATTGCTGTACTTCTGCCACATCTGGTCATGAATGATGGTGGACAATCCCCAAAGATAGGGGAGCCCAGGCCATCTTTGCAAAAGACAAAGCTGAAACCTTTGCAATCAACTTCAATCATGTCAGTCTCCTCCAGACATCCCTATCATCACAGATTCCAGTCTACAGCCAATTCGATTCACTCCATGTGATATCAGATAATGGCTGAAAGTATTGGATGCTGAAAAGGCTGTCAGCCCCGCCAACATTCCGGCAATAGTACTGAAGACGTGCTCCAGAACTTGCTACTACCCTCGCTAAGCTCTTCTCGTACAGATACAATAGTAGCATCTACATGACAATGTGGAAGATTGCACAGGTACATACTGCACACAAAAAACAAGACAAATCCAACCATGCAGCCACATGGGTGTGCTGTTGATCAAAGTGATGGAAAGCATCATTGACACCACTATCAAGCAGCACTTACTCTTCTTATCAATGTCCAGTTTGGGTTCCAATAGAACCAGTCAGCTCTAAACCTCCTGGCAGTCTTGGTCCAAATGTGAACAAGCAGCTGAATTCAGGAGGTGAGGTGGGAATGATTGACCTCAGAATGACGACAGCATTTGATCAAGTGTGGGATCAAATAACTCGAGCAAAATCTAAGCCAGTGGGATTTAAAGCAAAAATATGAATACCATATGATGAATGATCCATTTGGCCCTTTAAGCCTGGCCCAGCATTTCATAAATTTTTGATAAATTTCTTAAGAAAACTTTCCACTGGTTGGAGTTGTACCTGACACACAGGAAGATAGTTGTGATTATTGATGGTCAATCATCTTAGCTCTTGGACTTCTCTGCAGGAGTTCCTCAGGGTAGTGTCCTTGGCCCAACCATCAAGTTGCTTTTTCAGTAATCTTCTGTACATCATAAGGTCCAATATCAGGAAAGAGATGGGTTTTAAGGGGGATCTTCTTCAGGATCTTTGAGAGAGTGGAGGGATTTTGAAAAAGAATTCAAGACTGCAGTGAAGACACAAAGAGAGGGAGATGCACCAGGTGGGTGTCGTGGACAGTGAAGATTATCTCCGAGTATAACGGGACCTTGATCAGATAGGCCAATGTGCCAAGGAGTGGCAGATGGAGTTTAGTTTCGATAAATGCAAGGCGTTGCATTTTGGGAAGGCAAACCAGGGCAGCACTTACACGGTTAATGGTAGGGCCCTGGAGCGTCTTGTCAAACAGAGGGACCTAGGGGGAAAGTGGAGTCACAGGTGGTAGAGAAGACATAGTGGTAAAGAAAACATTTGGCGCACTAGCCTTCATTGTTCAGATAATTGAGTATACGAGTTGAGGTGTCATGTTGCAGCTGTACAGGACACTGGTGAGGCCATTTGTAGAATACTGCGTATAATTATAGTCACCTTTCTATAGGAAGGATTAGAATTAGGTTTTATTGTCACGTGTACTCAAGTACAGGGACACAGGAGCACAGTGAAACATTTACAGTGTCATTCACGGCACCATCTTAGGTATGAGGTCCTAGCTACAAAGTCTTATGTTAAAAAGTAGAAAAATAAAGAAATAAGCTACAAGTTCAATATTACAATTCTTATCAGTATAAAGTAAATAAGAAATAGTTAAAAGTTTGAAATTACAGTATTCCTTTAGCCATCAGCCTGCAATCACTCCATGCTGGGCTGTCCCCATGAGGGCTCGATCTCTCGATCCCCATGTCTTTGTGCTGCCATCTTGCCACAGACAGCCATCTGGGCTTACCAGCTGCCTAACCACAGGCTACCAGAGTCTCACTCCAGGCCCCCAGCCGCTTCCATGATGCTGCCAACTGCCAAGAGTTCTGCCTGGGCACACCAACCGCCAAAGTCCCCACTCTGGGATGTTGTTAAACTTGAAAGGATGCAGAAAAAATTGACAAGGATGTTACCAGGACTGGAGGGTTTGAGTTATAAGGGGAGGCTGGGACTTCTTTCACAGGAGCATTGGAGGTCAAGGGGTGACCTTATAGAAGTTTATAAAATCACGAGGGACATAGAGAAGGTGAATAGGAAAGGTCTTTTCCCTGGGGTAGGGGAGTTCAAAGCTAGAGGTCATATTTTTAAAGTGAGAGGAGAAAGATTTAAAATTTTTCATAGACTGGGTGGTTTGTATATGGAATGAACAGCCAGTGGAAGTGGTGGATTCGGTACAGTTAAAGACAGACACATGATTAGGAAGGGTTTAGAGGGATATGGGCCAACCACAGGCAAATGGGACTAGTTTAGTTTGGGAAACTTGGCTGCCTGGACAAGTTGCACCAACTGGTCTGTTTCTGTGCTATATGACTCTGAAGTCTTCCAACTTCTAATGATGATGCATGCTTTTGAATGCATTTCCTGCTTCCTGCAGAATTCTGTTCTGCTTTTGGCATGTCAACGAATGTCTTGTATAGCCCCATTCGTATTTTTGAATTGTTGTTACTGTTCTATTGGAGATAGATAGTGCCGCCAGTTTGCTGAAAAATTACTTAATTCTGTTTGTAGGAGCTTAATGTAATTCATTTCTCTTGTGATGCTATTTCAGATATAAATACTGATGAGGCAAGTGGAGAACTCTCCTACCCTTAATAGTCCTGTGGGGTCTTTATATTTATTTATGAAGTTACACAGTTTAACATCTCACCCAAGTCCCTCTTTGACAGTGTCACACTCCCTCAGAAATGCACTAGAGTTTGCCTGGAACGGCCTATGATCCCTGGTTAATGTGCTTAGGCCCCTGGAATAGAATTTGATCTCTCAAAGTTAATACATTAATGTGATTAAAATTAGAGATTTACTAGCATACATCTTAATGAGTATTAGAATAAAGCAGGTATTGGTGGAAGTTGATTCATTTCCATTTGGAAATTGACTTGCCATCAGCTTAACTAGTGAGATATGAATTATTGTCACTGTTTTCATGACAAGTTCTATTCTTAACATAAAAATGTACCTACTGGTATTCATCCTACATATGCTATTCATATGGTATTTTTTCTACATTCAAATATGTACATTGCTTGGTTCCAGGATAGCTGTAGGCAGAACAACTTTTGACTGTGATTTTTGAACATTCCCTTTGGTATTCCTTTTAATGTAGAAACTGAGAATATTACTATTACAGTCTTAGATTTTATATATATATATAAAATAGTAACACCTTCTTTTGATTGTCCAGAGTGAAGTCGGGCAGTCAGACTGAGGAAGAGGATGGAGAATATGATGATGATGACGACGATGAATATGTCCCGGAGTGGCATGATACATACGATGAGGAAGAAGATATTGATGAAGATGATTTTTCAGATGATGAATCAGAGAATCTAGAGAGAGATTTCTTTTACCTAGAAGACGATGTTTATGACTAAAGAGAGTTGAGATTTATATATATTCTGAATAAGTGGACAATTTAAAGAAATGTAATTCACAGTAGTCAAATGAAAATATCTTAGTCCCATACAGAATGCAGAACCATAGACTTCTTTTGTTATGCCACTTCTGGTTAACTGGCTTCACTTTGATTTGATTTTTTTTTGATGTTCAGGTTTCAAAAATACACAGACACGCACCTGAGGAGAGACTGTCTTTCCCTTTTATTTTGTTAACACAACATCTCACCACCCCACCTCAGAGAAAATTACTGATAAACTGCTCCTGAGCTGTTTATGGGAAATGTTTGCTGAATTCAGTTAAAAGAAATTAAGGACACTGAAGCCTCCACTTAGCAGAAAGCTTCTATTGTTCATATATAATGTTCTGTTTTTCTGACAAATTACATTTATGCCAGTTATCTAAATAAAACACTTTCTAATGTATAAAATTGGGCTTGTTGTTGCTCCCCTGGCAATAATTCATTTTGCAAAGTAAAATCAAAAGAAAAATTTGTTTGTAAAATCCTAAGAAGCTGCTAAATCCCAAATTTCTCTATTTGATGTCCGATGATCCATCTTGAAACCATCTAGTCCCACTTTCTTGAATGTCACAAACCAACTCGTGCCAGTCTAACCGTTTATAACTCCAGTCTTAGTTCCTGAGCATTTTTATAGCTGATCCCTATGCGTGCACCAACTCATCTCAGCATGCTGCCGGCATCATATTCCATTCCTCTGCACTCCAACCTCCATGTTCTCCTCCACTACAGGATGTTTATTGTGTAATTGGTGTAAAATTCTTTGAAGGATTTATTCCACCTACTTTTACAGCCGTTTCTAGCTAGAGATGCCAGCTCATACTTCTGAATCTATTTCTGTACCATTCCATTGCTTCTTTCCAAATTGGAATTCTTTTCCTAACTCCCTCGTCTCTCTCCCCAAGTTTTGTATCTAGACTTCAATCATCTCTCAATTAGCATTTCATGCTCAGTGTCCCATCCATTCACTGAGAAGCAGTTTAGGCTATTTAACCAGAAATGTCTATCTGAAGGAGAAAAATGGAGTAACATTTCTGACAATGAATACCAGCTGAAAAGGTCACCTTCAGAGGCTGATAAGACACTCCAGTCCAATACTAAAGGAGTGCTACACTGTTGATTATCTTTCAGATGAGATGTTAATTTCCAAGGAAAGCCAGGGAGTTTTCACAATGTCTAACCCAATAATTATCCCTTGATCAACATCACAGAAACAAGTCATCTGATCATTGTCACACTGATGTTTCTAGCACTGCAAGTGTGAGAATTAGCTGCTGTATTTCCTGTATTACAGCCCTAATTACTCTTCAGAAGTCAAGTCTGTAGGGGTGGCTGGTGGTCATGAAGAGCACTGTTTAAATGCAACTTTTTACTTTTTACGTTCCTACATGAAATTAAATTTCCCCACCTAATGTGGTGGAGTTTGAAGTTGCAATCTCTGGACTGGTTGCCAACTATCATAACCACAAGACTGCTGTACTCTTATAATTTTATCCCACCTTTATTCTCCGTAATAGGCCAATAAAATTCTTGTTATATTTAAGATGTGGTTTTATTTCGTATCTCTTGAACATGGCCATTCTATTTAATGCCTCCACCTGTAGACTTGGTTGCTGAGCAGGTTTTAAACTAAACTTGTCAGGAGATAGCAGGGAGGACATGAGGAAAAATGAAGTCCATAAAGGATTGAGAGGCAGACACACTTGAGTAAGTTACTGTTCTGAGGATGTGAACATCATTTTGCCTGGCACTTGAGATGTGAATGCTAGCTGCCAGTTTTCAGCCCTGAATCTCACCCATTTCTTGATGCAAAACAGCATTGGCTGCTTCAGTAGAATTTGTTGGAAGTAAAGAAAGTGAATAGATGATTGTAATCTGTGCAATCATTGCCTGTTAGTCATAGTAGCAATACATGTGAATCTCCACGATAGCCTATTACCTCCCTGATACCAGCATCAAGGATGCCACCAAATGGCCCAGAGCACTCTGAGGGGAGGGACAGTGTGCAGAGCGACTGTAGGCTGCAGGCAACAGGCATACTTTCAAAAAAAGAAAAAGTGACAACATGGCACTATTTCCAGACCAAAGAGCAGACTCTATGTGGAAGTCAAGTTAAATTTGCCACACCTTATGAAACTTGTGCATCTACCCCAAGTCCCATAATATTCTTGTATGTTTCAATAAGGTCACCTCTCATTCTGCTAAATGCCAATCAGTACCAAATAGTTTCTTTTTTTAAAACCAGTGATAGTAGTTATTTATTTCTACCTCTCCCCTGCACAACTGAAGTCAATGGGAACTGGGGGAAAGAACTTCACTGGTTGAAGTCATACCTCATAGTAAGGTAGTTTGATTTGTTGGAAGGCCAGTTATTTCAGTCACAGCACATTTTTTAATTCACTTGAGCTGCGGGTGTTGCTGGCTGGGCCAGCATTTATTGCCCGTCCCTAGTTGTCCTTGAAGGTGAGTGGTGGAGGCAGTTGATGCTGGTGCACATAGTGCCAATCAAGTTGGCTGCTTTGTCAATGTAGTGTCAAACTTTAAGTGTTGCAGCTACATTCATCAAGGCAAGTGGGATGTATTCCATCTCTGCACATGTACCTCAGGGTTTATTATTTCTTTTTCCACTTCGACAACTGAGCAACCTTCCCAATGTGAATCCAATACTTGTTGGTCAGCCAATGACACCCACATCCTGTGAGCAAATAGAAAGAAAATGCCAGACATTGACCATTTCTAACAAGAGAATCTAACCATTGCCCTTTCACTTCAGTAGTATCACCAGTGTTGACATTGGTAAATCCCAGGATGTTAATATAGTGACTAGAAACTGAACTGGACTTGTCTTATAAATTCAGTGGCCATTAGAGCAGGTCAGAGGTGAAGAACTCTGCAGTGAACAACTTATTTACCACTTGACGCCCCAAAGCCTACCCATCATCTGTAAGGCACAAGTCAATGACTTGCCTGGATTGCCATGCACCACCTTCAACACTCACTCCCTTCACTGACATAATGGCAGATGTGTACTATCATTCAAGATGCACTGCAGTAACTCACCAGGGTTCCTCAGAACCTTCCAAACACAGTGCACCATCTGGAAGGTCAAGAGCAGCAGACACACAGGAACATCATCTGCAAATGCCCTCATTCTCAGAAGGTCTAAACGTGAACTGCATCCTTGACACCAAGCTTACAACAGCGTGGTTCAAGGTGGCAGCTCACCACCACCTTCTCATGAGCAATTAAGATTGGTCCATTTAGCAACAGTCACATCTGATGAATGAATTTTAAAAAATAAGCCCAAATCATTTGCAACCACATTCAGCCAGAAATGCTGCATCACTGGTCTATCTTGGCCTCTTCCTGAGATCTCTAGCGTTACAGACCAATCCACCATCAATTCAATTTACTTAAATTGATAGAAAAATGGTTGAAAGCACTGGACATTACAAAGATTTTAGGCCCTAACAACATGCCTGCCATAGGACCAAAGGCTTGTTTGTGCTTCAGAATGTAGACAATTGCCCTGTAAGCTCTGTCCACAAGAGAAAGAATACACACAATTTAACAGCACCTTCCAAACTGACAATTTCTGCCATCTGGAAAGATAAGGGAAGCAGATAAATGGGAACATCAAATTCCCCTTGAAGCCACTTACCACCTTGATTTGGAATATAATTGCTGTTCCTTCAATGTTGTAGGGTAAAAATCCAGGAATTTCTTCCCCAACAGCACCAAGGGTATAATCACATGATTGCAGCGATTCAAGAAAGCAGTTCATCACTGCTTCCTCCAGGGTAAGTAATGACTGGAAATAAATGCTGGCCAAGCCAGCAATACTATTTTTTGTTTGAGATGTAAAAGGCTTTCAGAGATCTAATAATGCAGTTTGACAGGCTGAGTATTTTATTTGTCTGGAGAGTAGAAAACACAAATACTAGACATAAGCAATTCATGAGTAGAAGTTCACTCTTCAAGAAAATTATTTTTAGGCGGTTTACTACTCATGCCCGTAGGTGATCTTCAAAATACTGTTGTAGAATAGTTTCCACTTGCTCTTCAGAATAATCCTTCACTTGAAAGTTGGTTCCATTTTCTGCCCCTCGGATCATTGCTGAAAGAACTGAGACAGAACGGGTTTGAGTAATAACTCCTCAATTTTTGTAACTGTTTTCAGTTCACAACTGGAATTACATTTGCTCATGGTGTTAGCTCATGGTACAGCAACTGCACCAGTGTATCGAAGGCGGTGACACAAAGATAAACTCTGTTTCTCTGACTAGTTACTCCCAGTACAGAATAGTCATTATTCACAAGTCAGAGGCTTTTACTTTGCAAACAGCAACTCAGCTGACACCACATTCCTAAAGAAAGGCAACTAGATAACGAAACCAAGGCAGAAACTTTATGCATCTTGCCAGGGCTATTAGAAGTCAATTAAAAGCCATATTCATCTGACAGGTCTGACACATGCTTGATCTGTATAATTCAGTGACTCATCACTTAAACCTACGAGGTTAATGTGGAACACCGCACTAAGCAATTTTGTTGAGGGGGTGTCTCAACATCAGTGCCTTGTCTGGGGCAAATCAAACTGCACTTTAGTCATGGATCTGCACGTGTTTCATCTATAATAAGTTGGCATTTTCCATGAAGCCCCAGGAAAAGAAAATTTAACTATCAACAGCTTGATCAAATAAGTGAACTAACACCTCGCGTATGACTGACACTAGGAAAATTGTATTTATTGCACATCTCAACATGTCTGAAATGGTGGTGGCTTTCACTTTGACAATTGGGTTAAAAAAAATCCCGGAATTCTCTCCTAACAAGCATTGTTGGTCTACCTACAGCATGTGGTTCAAGAAGGCAGCTCACCACCACCTTCACCAGGGCAACGAGGGACAGGCAATAAAAAACCAGCCCAGCAGCACTCACATCCTGTGAATGAATAAAACAAACTGAGTAACTTGTCAGGTAACTTTAAAGGGTATTAACAGTTACCTACTAGTGAAGGGCTAAAAGGAACTGGCACTTCTAATGCCTTTCATTTCAGCAACCCACCAAAGGAACTTCACTCCTTCAGGATGTGGGTGTGGCTGACAAGGTCTGCAGTTATTACCTTTTGTATTTAAGAAGGTGGTGGCGAGCTCTTGAAGATACAACTAAAAGTACCTAACAATCCATTCAAAGGGCAGTTAAGAGCCAACCAGACTGCTGTAGGTCTGCAATCACTTAGTCCAAACTCAATAAAAATAGAACATTTGCTTTCAGAGAGAGTTGGGTTGACTAATTTAAAGAGTTGAAAGAATTCTGGAAGTCATTGTCATGAAGGGGTCTTGGAGGTCCATACAGAAGAAAGAAGTGGGAACGCTGTTAGTGAGGTGGCAGGTAGCTTAACTGAAGGACATTTGTGAACCCATTGAGTTTTCCCAAGTTTTAATACTATCCTGGAATTGTGTAGAAGATGGAAAACAGAATGCAGGGAAAGTGACAGCACTGAATCCTCTCAAGCAAGACCCTACAGCCCGGGTCTTGAACAGAGAGGTAGGACATAAAGGACTCCGACCTGTACACTGAGCACATGAGGATCACCTCACTCGTTGAACTAGAATTTCTGTTTACTATTTACTGACTGAATGCATAATGTAACATTTATACAAGTATCACACTTGAGCAGTGGTTATGGAGCCTTGATTTGAGTTATTTTGCTCATCTCTGTGATTTGAAACAAAACTGGCTTGACAGTAGGAGACTGAGGGTGGAGGTTGTTGTTCAGACTGAAGGCCATTGACCAGCAGTGTGCCAAAAGGATCAGTGCTGGGTTCACTGTTGTTGATCATTTATATCAACGATTTGTATGAAAACATAGGGGGCACGTTTAATCAGTTCGCAAATTACACCAAATTTGGTGGTATAGTGGACAGTGAAGAAGGTTACCCAAAAATAAAACAGGATCTTGATTAGAGATAGTAGGAACTGCAGATGCTGGAGAATCCGAGACAACAAGGTGCAGGGCTGGATGAACACAGCAGGCCAAGCAGCATCATAGGAGCAGAGAGGCTGACGTTTCGGGCCTAGACCCTTCATCAGAAAAGGGGGAGGGGAAGGGGGTTTTGAAATAAATAGGGAGAGAGTGGGAGGCGGATAGAAGAGGGATAGAGGAGAGGATAGGTGGAGAGGAAACAAACAGGTCGAAGAGGCGGGGATGGGGCCAGGAAAGGTGAGTGTAGGTAGGGAGTTAGGAAGGGGATAGGTCAGTCCAGGGAGGACGGACAGGTCAAGGGGGCGGGATGAGGTTGGTCGGTAGGAGATGGAGGTGCGGCTTGAGGTGGGAGGAGGGGATAGGTGGGAGGAAGAACAGGTTAGGGAGGCAGGG